GCCATAAAATGTGTGGTTGAAAATCAATTAAAAAGCATTACCATTACCATTAAAAAGCATGATGGCTTTGTAAGACAAATCAAAAATGTCAAATATGTTCCCAATCTCAAAAGAAACCTTATTTCTTTAGGGATGCTTGAAGATGAGAGATTTTTTAAATCTGATAATCAAGTTCTGAAAATTATTAGACTCCTTAATTGTTATGAAATGACCAAAGAGAAAATGGATTGTACTACCTTGAAGGTAATACAATCCATGGACCTGATCCCAATCTGTTTAATGTTATTGAGAACAATATGAAGTATAGCATAATAAGATAGGTTATATCGGTAATAAAGGTTTAAAGTATCTAAGTAACTAAAAATTACTTGGGAAAGATGAAATTGAACCTTTAATTTTTGTGAGACCTGTGTGTTCGATAAGTCTCACAGAGTGAGCTTTGAAACAAGTCCTCATGGTACCGATAGACCATTAGACTATTTTCATGCAGATTTATGGAGGCTTGGTAAACATTTTACTTTTGAAGGAAACAAGTATTTTTGTCTCTTGTGGATGATTATTTCAGAATGGTTTGGGTTTACCCTTTAAAGGCTAAATCTAAAACCTTTCAAAAGTTTAGGACTTGGCTTAAGATGGTAGAGGATCAATTGGACAAGAAGTTAAAAACTCTAAGGACAAATAAGCCTTGAGTTTTGTAACTTTGAAGTTGATAATTATAGCAAGCAAAATGGAATAATGAGACATAGAACAGTTAGACTAACACCTCAACAAAATTGGATAGCAGAGATGATGAACAAGACCCCGATGAACAAGGTCATATGCATGATTATTAGCTCAGGTTTAGCCAAAGTTTTAGGCGAAAGCAATCAATACTGTCGCTTACTTGATTAAAGATCTTTATCCAGTTATGTAGACTTTAAAACTCCAAACGAACTGTGGATTGGGAGACCTCCAAATCTAGTGCATATAAGAGTCTTTGGATATGCTACTTATGCACACCAACCAATCTGAGGGAAAATTAGAGCCTAGAGATGCCAAATGTATAATGCTAGGTTATCCTGAATGACTTGAAGGGTACAGGTTATGAGCTTTGAGTATGCTAGACACCAAAATTATTAATATTAGAATGTAGTCTTTAATGAATTTGAAATGCCATGTCTAAAACACAAAACTGATAAGTGTGTTGAACCTGGGAATGAGAAGGTGTTCAGAGTGAGGTGAAGTTAACCAAGTTCAACTATCTCAACCTGAAGAAGAGGAATCTAAAACTCGTTCAGCTGAACAACATTGAGGTGATTGAACCTCCAGGTAAAAATGAACTGAAGAACTTAACATTCCATCTGATAATACCTCAATTCAAGATTGCCAACTTACATATGATAGAGAAATGAGGGAGAATAAGACCTAACCCTATATATGAATCTCAAAACCTAACTAATTTTACCTTGGTTTCCGGTGAAGTCATCGAACATTCTAAACCTACTTCTTTTGAAGAAGCTGTGAATGGTCCAAAATCTAAAAATTGGAAGATGTCCATGGAAGAAGAAATGCAATCTTTGATTGAGAATAAAACATGAAAGTTGGTTAATAAGCCTAAGTATCATAGGATAGCACTATGTAAATGGATTTACAAACTTAAAAAAGGGAATAATCCTAGTGATCCTCCTAGGTATAAAGCTTAGCCTAGTGGCTAAGGGATTTATTCAAAATGAGGGGATTAATTACAATGAGATATTCTCTCCTTTGATCAAATACAAGACTATTAGATTGATCCTTGTATTGGTTGCTGAGTTCAGCTAGAAATTAGAACAACTTGATGTCAAGACGCATTCCTACATGAAAAATTGGAAGAGGATGTCTACATGATTCAGCCTCAAGGTTTTGAGGTGAAGAATAAAGCTAGTTTTGTATACAAATTAGAAAGATCTATGTATGGACTTAAACAAAGTCCTAGACAGTGATACAAAAGATTTAACTCATATGTACTTAAGATGGATTTTAAAAGGAGTGACTATGATGCCTGCTTGTACTATAATAATTCAAAGAGGGGTTATGAAGTTTACTTGCTATTGTATGTGGATGACATACTTCTGATAAGTTCAAACAAGTCTGAAATTACTAAAATGAAAAATCTTTTAAAATTTGAGTTTGATATGAAAGATTTAGGAAGTGCTAAAAAGATTTTAGGAGTGGTAATAAGGAGGATAGACCTAAAAATAGATTAATTGTTTCTCATGAGACCTATGTGAACAAAGTTACAACTAAGTTTGGTATAAAGTGATCAAAATCTGTAAGTGTTACCTTAGCAGCCCACATGAGTCTTTCTAGTGCACATTCTCCTAAGACAAGAGAAATTAAGGGAGATGAGGAACATACCTTATGCTAATGATATAGGTTCTGTTATGTTCTCCATGGATACAACGAGACTTGACTTCGCTTATGCAATTAGTTTTTTTAAGCAAATTTATGTCCAATCCTGATTAGCCCTATTGAGGAGGTTTGAAATGGTTGTTAAGATACATTGTTGGTATTCTAAATCTAGGTTCTTGTATATCAAAAAAGGACTAATAAACCAACCTTAAAAGGATACATGAAATTTTGATTTTGCTGGTGATAAGATAACTGAAAATCTACAACAGCTTACTTTTTTATACTTTGTGATAATTGCATAACATGGAAGTCACAACTTCAGTCAATAATAACATTATTCAGCATTGAAGCTATATATGTTGCAATTACTAAGGCGGAAAGAAAAATGTATTTGGTTAAAGGGAATTTGAAATGAATTGAACTTTCTATATAATACTCCTACTATCTTTTACTGACAGTCAAATTGCACTTTTACTTAGCAAAAACCCTGTTTATTATGACAGATCATAACATATTGAGGTGGAGTATCATTTTATTAGAGAAAAAATCTCTATAGGTGAAATTAATTTGTTCAAAGTTCATATTGATAAAAATTCCTCATATATGGGGACTAAAGTTTTATCTGTTGGAAAGTTTAAATCTTGTCTGACTTCACTACATATTGATATAGGTTAAATTCTTTTGCGGATTTTTAGAAATGATAACGGACTGGTGTTTCATGTGCAAATTTAGCAATCGGAGAGTTGAATATTACTGAGAACCAAGGTGAAGAATTGTAAAGTGTGTTCGTCAAAACACTACTAAATTGGTGTTATTGTTGAAAGTTGCCTTGACTGAGTATTTGGATTGTGAATGGCCTATGTGGCAACCCCCAAATGGTTCATTGGCTGTGGCAAGGATTGTGCGAGTTGAGGAGGGCTGTGTACCGTCTGATCAAATGGACGGCTGAGATTCATTCTTGAGTTATTAATCCTATTGACTTGGCTGCAAGTGGCTGTGTGGTTTGGAATGGTTTTCATTCTTACCTTTGAGTTTTGCTCCCTCCTCTTTTTGCTCTGCGTGCGATCTTCTTCTCCCCCGTTTTGATTAAAAATCTCTTAAATTAATCCTTGTTGTATATTGACCCTTGAAGAGCCATCTTGTTACGGTAACTCTTAGCTTGGCTGAGTCTTTTTTTCTTTTTTTGGTTAGGGCTGTATGTCACAAATGATTGGTTGTGTTTTGTATATCCATATGGGTCAATGACCAAAATTGGTTCTGCTGAGTGGTTTTATGTACATGATACTCTCTCTTGGACAGCAGATTTGCACTAGTGGAACAGACTCCAGTTTCTGAGCCTCCCAGATTATGTCTATTTGCTTAATTGGGCCAACATATTTGGTGATTTTTGTGTTCAATTTCGTTTATACTTTCAGTTTTCTATTTAGATTTGTTTTATCAATTAATATCTCATCAAGAAAACCCAACAAGTGAATAACCCGGTTCGAATTTTACATGACAAAGTTGAAAGGCTTGAGAAAACTATAATCCGATTCAGGTTGAATCGATCAAATTCACGAGACTTCATCACTATTTTTTTAACAAATGTGTGAAGTTATAATTGAACCGGTTCTTAATTTCTCCAATTGAACCAATCGGATTGACTTGACTTTATCAAAAGGAAAATGAATATGTGTAGTAAATTAAAAGGAAAAGGGAGGGGGTGGGGGGGGGGTGGGAGTGTTGATGGTTGTCACTGTATATTAAGGCAAGTTGTGGTGGCATCAATTGTTCACTGTATATTATGACAGCAACTTGCAACTGTCTTTTATGTAAATATTTATCCAAATAATTAGATATTAACATCTATAAATCAATTTGATATTTTATTGAACAATACTGAGCAATATAAGTTAGGCATATCCAAAATATTCCGTCCATCCTAACTCTTATTTTTATTATTTTTTCTGTTTATTTAAACTTAGATTTTATTTTGAAAAGATAAGTAACTGGGGACAGTATACTAGGATATTATAATCCTAAATATCGTTGGACTATCTCAAAAACGTTTTCAACTATCATTGTGTTTTAAAAAAAAAAAAAATCGAATTATCACCCAGTTATTATGGACTATAAACATGTTTTGGCCATTCAACTTTCAAAAATTTGATTTCAACAGTAATCGAAGTTTTTCACAGGTGGCATGCTTACAACATAAACGCGTGTCATGTACATTTTTACGAGTGATGTTCGCGTTAAGGGCTTGTTTGTCTCCTATTATGGGAGAAATTATAGAATTTTGAATAGTATTTTTTGGAGAATATATAATTAAAATTTAAAGAGAAATTATTGGTTTATGTGTAGAATATTTTATTATATGAATGTGTAATAGAGAATGTTATTGTAGCAAACAATTTAATTTTTTTAAAGAATGATAAACGGAGGCTAAAATTGACGAATGATATTCCGTTTTAAAAAACTTAATGGCACACACATTCAAAAGACTAGGTGCATGGACCCGTCTCTTATGAAATTGTCAAATCAATGAATCACAAGTTCTCACTGTTAATGAATATTTAAACCAAGTCTCATTTGCACTTATTGTTATGTTTGCTTAAAAGTAGATTATAAAATGAATAAAACGAGACATTTAGAGAGAGAAAAAAAACTTATAATCCCATTATAAGCAAAACAAAAATAAGCAGAAATGGTGAGAGCTCCTTGCTGTGAAAAGATGGGACTAAAGAAAGGGCCTTGGAGTCCTGAGGAAGATCTGATTTTGATCTCTTACATTCAACAGCACGGCCATGGAAACTGGAGGGCACTCCCCAAACAAGCTGGTAATTACACTTTTAGGTGTATATTTTGGTCGTCTATTCGTGTTCAGTACTGCATGTCGATCGCCATTTTTTTTTTTTTTTTAATTAGTGGGAAGAATATATCTAAAAATGGAATCAAAATTCATTAAAAAAAAATCCATCTTGGCTCAATTTTTCCCCCCCTTATTTTGTAGGTCTACTGAGGTGCGGGAAAAGTTGCAGATTACGTTGGACAAATTATTTGAGGCCAGACATAAAGAGAGGAAATTTCAGCAAAGAAGAAGAAGAAATTATCATCAAGCTACATGAAATGATGGGGAATAGGTGCGTGTATCAACCAACTCGTATTTCACATTATACATTAAATTAAAATCGACCCCGGTTATGAAAGAAATGTTTATCATCCATTATCGAGTCGAGTCTGGTCTAACGAACATATTTAACTGTTGACACTGAATACTTTGCAAATAATAGAGATGGGCTTATCTCATTTTTGGCTTCATCCCCATAATTTTAGACCTAGACACCATTTTAAATTGTCAATTACCAATAAATGTTCATGAAATTTGAGAGTGATCATATAAATTTACTCATGCACCAAAACATGGTCACTCTGTCTCTGTAGAAGGGAGCGACCGAGTCGGGAATGTAATCGAGTAGATGTACGACTCAAGTAAGGAGATGCCGATTGCAAAATCTGGTGTTAGTTATCGATGAGATTAAAAACCCGAATAAGTGTTTGATCTGATACTTTTGAACATTTAAATTAAACAAATATGTTGATCCCTTGTAGTATTTGTATGTACACATTGGAATAATCAAGATTAGCTGAAAAGATTCTCTTTAATATAATAATTCCAACATTAATTAAATTTATTACAGACATCTATGCACGTCATGATCTGAATCTCCTTAGGATTTCTTGTCTGAATATTTAATCTTTGGCACTAGATTTCATGTTTGTCTACTGTTATTAAACTTTAATTTTTCTCGATAAACAGCATTAATTAATCCAAAAAATCACAAATATTGACAGATTAAATTTTTTTTATTTTGTTTTTTCAGATGGTCTGCTATTGCAGCAAGATTGCCTGGTAGAACAGACAATGAGATAAAAAATGTCTGGCACACACACTTGAAGAAAAAGCTCAAAAATAATAAGACTTTTGAGGACTCCAACGGACACTCAATCATTCAAGAATGTGATTCTAAAGCTCCTGAAAATCCCAATTCCCCTAGTGAACAAATTGTTGATAGTCCACAGCATTGCTCTAGTGAGATGTCATCAGTGACAGATTTATCGGAAAAAACGGTTTCTAAGCACGAAGAAATGGACTATTCGTCCGAGTATTTTCCTCACATCGATGAGACCTTCTGGTCCGATGAATTATCCACAGACGACAACACAAACGTGCAATCATCGAACTTCCCAGCTGCAAAAGATGAAGTTCAGTTTGGATTCCCTTCGTCTTCCGAGGAAATTGATGCCGGGATTTCGAAAGTTGATGATAGCATGGACTTTTGGTACAATGTTTTCATTAGGGCTGGAGACATGCCTGATTTACCAGAATTTTGAGTGCTGTTTTGGATATAATATATATTTAGGACAGGATTTTCAATCATGGGATGCTGATTTTCCAAAGGTGCCAAACAATGGAATCATTTCATTGACAAACTAAACAAAAATTAAGCTTGTAGTGAGCATTTTCTTGTGTGTTTTTGGTCACATAAAGAAACGAAAAAAAATAGTGGAAGTTCACATGAAAGCTTTAAGAGGAAAAAAGGGATTTGACTTAGAAATTTGGTTTGTACAATTTAGATTTTAAGGATTAAAAGGGTAGAAAAATAGTAGACTATGAGACAAAATCCTAATAAGTTTGCTTCTAACCCCTGTTTTTCAAGTGTAAGTTCAATGTTTCTTGATTAGCCTTTGTTGACAATTGTGTAACTTTGATGAAAATGACGGTCTTGATTATGAAAATTTGGGATGCAATATTGCTTTTCTTGTTTCCATATGCTATTAATTTTAAAACCATGTCATGTTGCATCAAAGGTGTTTAGACGTGTCTCCTCATGGGGTAGACGAGTTGGTGGAGTAAGTGAACGCAAAGACCTTTAATCACGAGTTCGATTTCTCCTACCAACATTTTTTCGGTCAAACCTGTCACACAGGACTTGCTTAGTGTGGTTTACCTGGTTGGCGTGATTTGCATACTATTGAGTTAGCTCGAGGGTTTAACCAATACGCACCCCAATAATAGCAACTGTAGGTTCTCCCATTAAAAAAAAAATGAAAAAAGAGGCATTTAGACGTGTCTATATAGTGACTATATATGATATGTCTCCATAGTGACTATATATGACATGTCTAATTAAATACGTTTCAACTTTTATGTATATCTTTATATTTACTACCATTTAATGTCATTGTAAAGCCACCTGTCATACTACATAGTATGATTCTAAACATTTTTCATAGGTAAAATAAATTTTTGTTTTTAAACATGTTTTTGTTGTGTTAAAAAAATAAATAATAATATTAACTCATTTTCAAAGTAAATCTTACTTTATTGTCAAATCAAGTAGTTTAATTACATTCGATTTTAGAAAATAAAATCATTCATTTTAAAAATTTTGATGAACTATTGTATTGCATAGGTACGATTTAGATATCTGAACACGTCTTCAAATGTAAATTTCAAAATAAATATACAAACGAATGTTTTACAGTTAGAGCTTGTTTGGTAGGGATTTTGTTAATTAATTTTTTGATTGTTAGAGATAACGTGAGTTTTATTTGTGAGAAAAAAATTCCAAAATAACAATTGAAATAGTGAAATAACGGTCAAAAAATTAATTTTAATTGATTTTTAATCGTTACCAAACAAGTATTAAAGATATGAAAACATTATGTCAAAACAAATGTAATAATGTATAGGCTCGAATCATCACTTATTTATGAAAATAATAATAATAATAATAATATCTGATTTGTGCCTGAAGAAACGTGGTGAAGATACAAACTATATATCTTTTAGATGAAAATAAATAAATACTGATTGGAATATAAAGTATATACTTTGTAGCTTCGAAGAAAAATCAAACTACTAAAAGCCAAAGTTGGAAATAAATGCATTTGACATCATCACCAAGAACTGTTTTTGGTCTACGCAATAACATGTAATTACACTAACAATATTATAATTCTTTCAGTATAGTCACTGCATTAACTTTTAAATAATTAAAACAATCCTTAGTCAATTTCAAGAAAGTTACCATGAAATTAAGCAGCCCTAACAGCATTGGTTGAAATAAAGAAATGTTTTTTTTTTTGGGTCCCCCAATAACCTTTTTTACAAGAACGTGATTAACATTATTATAATTCTTTTAATTTAGTCCCTGCTGCTTAGTCAATTTCAAGAAAGTAAGCACGAAATTAAGCAGCCATAACAGCATTGGTTAAAAAAAAATTCTACCAGAGGACCATTTACATTAGAATTGTCAAAAATAATTTATTTCACATCAGCTTTTTGAAAATAATTGTATTTGGTCATAAAATGGCTTTAATTAGCTTTATAAGTCCTCAATTAATTTTCTAAGTCTTTGTTTTTTTCATCAGTATTCCAATTTCTCTTTGTGATTTCGATTGAGTCTCACGTCAATTGGTTCCTTTAAGCTTTAGATATTTTTTGTGTGTGATATTTTGCTTTGAATAAAGTAATGGCTCACATTCCATCATAGACTCTAATTGATCTATGTTCATATTTTACATCAATGTGATACTGCAATACATGTTTAATACATTGAATTGAACATAATTGATATTGATTAGAAAAAATAGATGTTATATTTATGTTTGATGTATATTCAAAGTTGATAAAAATCCGACCTCAAATTTTTAACCAAATATTTCTTTATTTTATTTATTTATTATTTTTTTTTTTTATCAAAATCTACTAAAATTTTGATATAAAGCCTGTTTGAGAGTGATTTTAAGAATTGATTTTTTGACTGTTAGGAGAAAAAGTAGAGTCCACCTGTGATAGAAGAAGTCAAATATGACGGCTGGAATAATGAACTAACGGTCAAAAAATCAATTTTTTGGATGAAAAAATGGGGCCCAAACAAGCCCATAATCTACGCCATACATGGGCTATATGTTATATTGTTATAGCTTTCTCTAGTGAACTTTCTTAGAAGATATATATTTATCCTATGCATACATAATTCTAATTATATTTACAAGAGTAAATTATAGAGACATCTCATAAAATTTATGGCAATTACGTACACACTTCTTTTCGTTTGAAAATTACATAAACACCCTTCTTATTATAAAATTTCTCAATTTCCCATCAATCTTACGCTATATAAAAAATTATATTTGTTTCTTTAAAAATTGAAATACTAATGAATGATAATCGTATTCGTGTAGCTCTACTCTCGCTCTATAAATATAGAGCGTTCTCTATAAAATAAACTTGAGTTTTGACTCTCTTAATTCAATTTTCTCTTCTATTTTTCCCTCTTGTTTTCTTAATTTAATAACATGTTATCCGCACAAACACTTAAATTTTTTTATTTTTTATTTTTAACCATCACTGTACCAATCAAACAAGCTTGTTCTTCGTGCATTTGTATTCCAAAAGAAAGAAATTCAAACTCCATTTACGATGGTGATACGTAGAAGGGAAGCCACGTTACCCCAAATGGAATGGTCCAATTGTTTGAAATAAAAAAGGTAAATTGGCTGCTCAAGAAAACACGAAGGTCATTCACTATTTCCTTTGTCATCTGTCGTATTTATATAGTGGTTATATTTGTAAGTATAATGACCTAAATGGCTAAATTCAATCAATATTAAGCCCCGTTTGAGCCCCATTATTTATAGATTATAATGAGATGAATAGTATTTTTTTTTTTTTAAAATGAGTGCTTGAAATTTTTTTTATTTACGTTTAATATTATTTTATTGAAAATTGTATGATTAAAAGTAAGAGAAAGAAAAATTTAATTTAATATAATAAGATATAATGGGGCTCAAACGGGAGCTAAACATAAATACTTTTAATATATTGTTGATGCATTTTCTTTATGACAGATTTATAAATTAATTTAATTATCTAATAAATTAAATAATAGAATTCTTAGATTCAAGTTTTGGTAATTTGTTAATCATAATGGGTTATGATTGTGAGATACAAATTATATGACTGAATTTTTAATCATCTATGATCTTAAGTAATAATGACATACTGATATCTTTATTGGCATTTTTTAATTGTGAAGTAAGTAACTGATTTCACAAGTTAAAGTGTGATGACTCTTAAATGAATACGTGAACATTTTGTTATGGAACAAAATACTGAAGACTCATTAGGAGATTCCACATAGATAACTATTTTGAGTGTCAGTAATTAATTTTTAACGTTCGGTACTTGAATTGCTCCTTCAATTTGAGGATATTATAGTGTCTTATATGAGGATGATTATACTTTGTTGATGTTGGATGTTGCTTTGCAAATGATCGCTAATGCGACATTGTTCGGGTATGTTAAGAATCATACGAAAGTTGTAAATAATCAATAGAAGATTCGTCACTCTTAAATAATAAGAAATTATGATCTAAATTTCATTTAATTAAGTTGATAATGAAATCCTTCGTCAATGTGTACCCATAAGTTGAAAAGAAATTTTTGATTTACATTGACTTAATAGTTAGATGAAAAATATGATCAATAATTGAGATTGACGCACTCCATATCTAGTAATTGATTCGAACATATTGACAAATGGATTATATTTTCACGGTAAACAGATAAGTTTGATTTTGTCATACCACATATCAATTTGGGACGATAGATGTGAATTGATGACAACTATAAACGGGTATTTTAATTTATCAATTTTGACTAGATCAAAATAATAATTTATATTGTTAGACATCGTGATCGAGAACCTAATAGGTCATACACAAATAGAGAACTAAAAGAATAAGATTTACCAATTAATTAATTGACAAGTATATGGGCAATCAATTAATTGGGTTATTTGTTTATATGCCCAAATTAATTAATTAAATTAATTAATTTATGGGCCAAATTTAATTGATTGGATTAATTATATTATACTGGGTTAAGTTTAAAAGATTGGTCAAGCCCACTTGAATTTATATTAATAGGTTGTTAGGTTTGAAAATTCATAAGAGAATGCGATTATATTCTTTTTAGCATAAGAAAAGAAAAACCTCACTTCTCTCAATCTTGTTTCCTACATGAATTTCCATTGGAGGTTGGACGATTTACAGTTATGGATTACAAATCAAAAGTGTTACTCAAGAAATTTATTAAAAGTATAATTCTTTTTATCAAAATTTATGTTTAAGCAGAAAGAAAATCTTTGATGAGAGTAGAAAATTTTATTTAAATTTCATTTTTCATGTTAAGCAAATTCCCAATAATATTTGTGTCAATTAAACTTGAATAAAATTTATTACTTTATATCAATATTTCAAAAGGAAATTATATTATTACTTTAGAAATATTTTCAATTTATAATCAAATTTTTTTAAGAATATTTTGATATTGCTCTTGAAAAAGCAAATCTTATATACGAATATTATGTTGTTGCTCCCAAGGAAAAATAATTATACTTAAGAAAATGTTATATGTGTGAATTAAATTTTAGTGCAATTTATTACTTTGCACCAATATATCAAAGAATACCATTGTTCCAGAATAATCAAAATTTGATATATTTATCAGTATTATAGAAGAATATTGAGTTAAGACATCTTAATAATTATAATTCTTTTCCAGAAAAACATTACATTATTGTTATTGAAAAACTTAAACTAAGCAGATATTCTACAAGAATATTATATAGCTTCTCTTAAAGAAAATATTTTATATTAGAATACATTTGATTGTTAATATTTTTCATGAAAAATACATTTTTCCACCTTAATTTCTATTTTTGTGCTGTTTAATTGATATTTTTTCTATGAAAAATATTTTCATATGACCATATTTTTCTCAAAATCAAAGAAAATATTTTTCTTTAGAAAAAATAAGATTTTATTTTTCAGAGAATTCACTCACTATTTCTCTCTCATATCTATTCACTATCTATCATCTACCCACCAATAAAAAACGAACAAATATAATATTTTTTAGATTGAAAGTTAAATCAATCAAATACATCTAATTGACAATTTCCATGCAAATTCTATACAAATTTTATACTTGCAATTAAACACACCCTTATATTAATTTTCTAGAAAAATATACAGTTATTCTGGACGAAAGCATAATTTTATATTTTAACACTTATAAATTTTATATAATTTCTCCTAAAGAAGCATTGATCTTTACATGTCAATATACTTTAAGAATACTGTGTTGCAACGCTCAAAAAAGCAAAGTTGTAGATCCTAAAAAATGTACAAACTAATAATTAAAAAAAAATTATATTAATATTCGTCAAGGAATATGATTTTCAATTTAATATTATGAAATAATATTTTTTCACATACAAGAAAGAGAACACAGCCAAATCCATGCAAAGAACTCTGCAATCCAACGAGGAAAATCATTTCCTGGAAATAAATGAGTTGGAAACAGAAACAAGGACTCGAAATCAAGAACTTTGATAGAGACGAGAGAGAACATTTCTCGACTAGAAATTTGAAATCAGCCGTGACCAGAAAGTGTGAAATTTTAAATATTCTCAAACAAAATGCAAGTATATAGGAAGTGGGATCTATAAAAGTAGCACACCCATCGTTTATCAATTAACAAGATTGGCAATGGAATTATTCAAAACAATAGCTACTTTAAGATTCTGATTTTCCCACCTTGAGACAAAACTTAAGAGAGACACGAGTATGCCAGATCTTTCTCCTCACTGAGTTCTTTAGCGGTTGAGTCCAACTTATTCCTCGAAAACTCGTCAATTGAAAGTCCTGTAATGTAGAAAATACACATACTGAGGATGCTGGGAAAAAATGTCCTAATAACAAGGTTTATGGAAAGTTACAAAACGACCACAGGGAAAGACAACCAATTTAGAAGAGAACAATTACAAAATGAGGATTCATACCACCACCAATGCTAGAAACAGATTGCAGAAGGGAAAAAAAAAAATTCTATACTATGCATTTCAACAATTTTAACTGTTCACACGCCACACGATCTAAATATAAACTAGGAATTTAGCCCCTATCTAGCCTCCATTCTCTTTTCAAACTCATTTTCAACCGCACATTTCATGGGACCCACAACTCTTATCAACTTTTCAACATTTTATCAACACTTATTAGGAATCTGATTTTAGCTAAAACAAATAGGGGCTTAAGCTTTTATGTTGTCACCTTGAACAATAGACCATTCTCCATTCTTGCAAGTAACTGGGAAGGAATAAATTAGCCCGGCCGGGACATTGTATGAGCCATCAGAGTAAACACCCATGGAAACCCAAGTACCCTAAAATATTTCAGAACATATTAGAAAAAGGTGTATGACCATTTGATAAATCTTGATCTACCACAATTATAGGTGGAAACTCTACCTCTGGAGTTCCGAGGAACCAATCGCGAATATGGTCACAAGCAGAACTAGCAGCAGAAAGTGCACTAGAAAGTTTTCTTGCTTTGATGATTGCAGCACCACGTTGCTGGACAGTAGTAATGAACTCACTATTCAACCTAGCAACAAAATAAAAATAGATGCAGAGAAAATTCAGAAAATAAAAGGTGAGATTTCATAAAAGATAAAAATGCATTTCATATGTAATTCATAGAAATACAAATTCACTACAATAAAAACTAAGTTTTAACCTAAGCTTCCTACCATTCATCATCGGCAACAAGCTCACGAACGGGTTTCTTTCCAGCTGGAGTATTGACAGTAGCATGGTTGACATCAGGATACTGCGTTGAAGAGTGATTTCCCCAAATAATGACATTTTTAACATCGGAGACTTGAACATTCAATCTTTCTGAAATTTGTCCAAGAGCCCTGTTGTGATCCAATCTCGTCAGACAAGTAATATTCTTCTCAGGAATAGATGGTGCAAATTCCTTCAGTATCAATGCATTGGTGTTGGCAGGGTTAGCAACGACCAAAACCTGGACGCAAACACGGACACAGAAAAAAATAATAAAATTGAAGACTAGGACTTCTAAAACAAATAAAAAAATAAATCATGCTACATAATTATAAATTGCTAAAGATGTCTGGGCTTGAACAGGAATCTTCAGAGAGGTCAAGCATAGCATTTGAACAACATGATACTTCGTACTCTAAATAATATTGGTCAGCATTGCATTTTTGAAAGTCACATTCTTTCTGCTAATATGTGACAATAGAAAAATGTTTTTGTTTCTAAAATTAGATGAGACTTTTATATTTCATGTACCAAAGTCAATGTAAGGATTATAAAAAAAGAGCAAAGCTATTTATCTAGGTGGCAATTGAGTGACAATCATTGACTTGACTTCATAAATGGGATTCGTATCCCTAAATTTAAGACGGCATATCAGTTAATGCCACTTAATTGCCAGCCAGTCATCATGAGTCCATTTAAATAGCATTATGCTATAAATAAAAGTCATCAAGAAAAGCATCTTCAATATAAGCCAATCACCTTGCAGTTGGCAGCAGCATGCTTCTCAAGAGCTGAAGCCTGGGACTTGTAGATGGAGACATTCTTCGACATCACATCTTTTCTCTCCATGCCTTCTTTCCTAGGGAAACCACCAACCATCACTGCAATGTTGACTCCGGTGCATGCTTCAACAACATCAGTTGTTGCAACGACACCTGATTCAAATATCATAGTAGATAGATACAAGTTATCCACTTTTAACCCATATTCCATTTGGCATATAAAATGTCAAAATACGAGAGACTATTGACAATTATTTTCACTACTCCGGAGTAAATTACCAACCTTTGAGAAGGGGGAAAGCAGCATCAATCAATTCCATTTTCACTCCATTAAGTGCCTCTGCAGCAGGTGGAATATCTAGCATGTGTAGGATGACAGGTTGGTCAACACCCAACATCACACCCCTAGCAATCATAGGAACCAGAGCATATCCGATTTGTCCTGCAAAATTAGCAAGCTTCCATCAATCTAGTTCTAGAGATAATATAGATTTAAAATCCTAGAAAACAATAGTTGAGCAAATTAAATATTTTGATTCAGATACTTAATTAAAAAAACTACCGACACTCAACCATATAAATAGAACTCCCTCTCTTTCCTGAAATGTTGCTTAATTTGACTAGGATCAGTTTTCCAGGTAAGCTACTGGCCTAGAGCACATTTTCAGTTTGTACCCATACATATTTTGAGTCATGGGTCCTATATTTCCTCTTCACAGAAGTCCATCACCAAACGTTTCACCAACATCATACCCCTTCCAATCATGAGACACCGCAGAACAGTCATTACTTTCAGCTATATTCGTTTCTTATTTAGTTTCTTAAATCAAAGGATTAACATTATCTTGTAATCAATTCAAAGTTCCTCAGATAAATTTCAGACTGAAAAAAGGTGTAAAAGTCAAAAATAAAGTTCTGTGTCAAATTTGTTAGCATCTTGAATGGCTTCAAACCTTCAACAAGCACTTCTGATGCTACAAAATACTTATCCAAAACAAAAGAAAGGAAAAATAAGGATCACATTACCATTTGCAAATCAACTTACAAGTCGATGGAAACACTTCAAACACACACGTCACTACTTTAGAATGGTCTAATCAACAAACATCAGTGTGAAAGAAAATTATAATATAGACAGTTCACTGGATTTCCTAGAACCCCAGTTCGATACTGATACCCATAAACCCTGATAAGTCGCACTCCACTACCAAATTGAAGATCTAGCTTTCACAGTAAAAACCATATTTATCCATAGACATATTATATATCAAATAGAAAAATTAAATCCATTAAACAATATTCAGCAACTATCAGATTTAAAGATCTATATAAATCATCAACATAAGATACAACTGTAATAGACAAAAAACAACATGTACAATGGAACAAAGCTACGTGGCATTATTGTAGCTACACAGAATATTAAACAATACTCATAAACTATCAGAATAAACATAAAATAAGGCTTCATTAAACTGTAAATGTAACTCTATAATAGTCAAACCAAACCACGCACTATTATAACTACTTCGGATCCTAATAACCATATTAATACAAAAATGACAATCATAACATCAGATCTACACATCAATTAAACAGAACGATGATCAAATGATGTTTAACAAATAAATGGAAGAGTAAAGTTAGACCTCGAAATGGACGGTAACTTTAGTATAATTAAGTTTCCGATTTACCTGCGGCGCCGGTGACAAGAACACGGATTGGATCTTTAGCCATTTGTTTATGAGATCAGATCTGGAATACGATGAAATCGATGTGTTTTTGAGATTTTAGTGAAAGAGTAGCAACACGGGAACATAGATCGCCTCAGGTTTATTTATTGGTAGAGTTTTGATATTGACAGGGAAAATTTTGATATGTCCACACTGGTTCTCAATTGGTTAGGCATTTTGTTGGCAGTGTTTATATTTATTTATTATCACGTCAAGAATCAAGAATCAGCATATAATAAATTAATAAAACGAATTCATTCCTGCAAAAATCATTGTTGATATGAATGATAGTTGTAATAGTAGTCAAGATCTTCCCCTCCTTACTCCTCACAAAGTATTAGA